AGAACGGGCAAGATCGTCGAGGAAGATGGTTTCTGGATCGATCGCATCAAATCGAAGTGCTATGTTGCATATGAAACAGAGGAGTAAGTCAATTTCTTGGAATTCCGTATAATATAAAAATTCTAATAAATTTTATTCACATTACAGCGAAGCTATTGAAACTCGTCATGCTTTGCATGGTGTACGTTGGCCAGTCTCAAATCCCAAATGCTTGAATGTTGACTTTGGCAGTCGCACAGATATGGATCGGGCTATACAATCGACAAAGAACGAGGCACCCAAATATCCGCAAGACAATACTAGAGATAATCAGAACGCGGGCAATACTTGGTCACGCTTGGATGCAAGCGATAAAAAGGTATGCTTGACTCTGGGAACCTTTATTGAAACATAATTAAACGAAAACTCTTTGCCAACAGCCAGCACGTCCGGTGCGTGAATGGGATGTGGGCAAGAAGGAGCCAAATGAGCGTGATAAGTCAAGCAACGACAGGCGCCGCAGCAGTAAAGAGCGCGTTGACGCCCGATTACGTGATTCCGACCGTGGTAAAGTGGGTGATGAGCTAGAGCGCGGTGGGCAGGATCGAAAACGATCACGAGAGCGCGAACGTGGAGGACGCGAACGTGATCGCGAACGCAGCGAACAACGTGTACATGGACGAAGCAGGAGCGGATCACCAGGTAACCAGCAGCTTAACACTAGGCAGATTAATGTATACTAATAATTGTGCTCTTACACATACACAGCGTTAAAGTCCAGAAAGAAGGAGAATGAACCACCCATCAGACTATTGGATGATTTGTTTCGCAAAACAAAGGCGACGCCTTGTATATATTGGCTGCCTCTGACACCGGAAGCTGTGAGTAGCAGAAAATGGAAACGATTCAACGTATGCTTAATATCCCGTTTTTATTTATATAAACCAGATTGCCGAAAAGGAGGCGTTCCGTCAGAAGCGTATTGAGGAGCACAAGCAGCGTATCAAGGAACGTGAAGAGCGCCTCAAGGAGCGCGAACGTGAAAAGGATCGCGATCGTCAGCGAGATACTCGACGCAATCGATCAACCGAGCGTCGGCGTTCGCGCAGTCGCGAGCGGGAGCGACGGCGTTACTAGACAGTAACTAAATGAAGAACCGAAATAAAACAAAAAAGTCAACTCGACAACAATTTTAAAGCAACAATTAACTAAAAACTATAACAAAACAAAAAAAACAAAAACAAAAACAAAAACATAAAAATTTGAAAAAAGGAAGCATAGACAGCAACGATAGTTTGAAGTGCTTTTTCCTGGAATTTTGAATCTTTTTCTTTTTGAGTTCAATTATATTCAATTTGAAGTCAAACTTCACTCCAAGTTGAATATTTTCCATCCCAATCACTCAACGCAGAAACTTAATGAGATTTAAATTTCTTTCTTTTTCCTCCTATATATACTTACATATATATATATATATCTACATAACATGATTGATTTCTTTCCCAAATGTAGCTTTTTACAGTGCAACAGCAACAAGAACTTCAACTACAACAACCAGCACATCAGGCGACAGTCAGTCAATAGAACGGCGAGAATCGTGGCACACATTGGATATGTCTCTGTCTCGAAGTCCTAAAACTGTAGCCGCAAGTGTTTGAATTCGCCTCTTATACATTAATAATTAAATATATACATACATACTTAAACAGCAAAATGCAAATTAATTAACTGAATTGTATTAATTGAAATTTTAAAAGAACCTAAATATAACAAAATCACAGAAGGCAAGCTTTTGACAATGCCAAAAACGTAACATCTATCTCTTTATTTTGACACATTGTATACATTATAATGATATTGTTGGAGTATAAATCTAAATCTGAATCTAAATGTATAGTTTTGCTACTTTTCATAGCTGTCTTTAAAATTGTAGTTAAGGTTTCCTAATCAATACTGGAGATTTCTTAACGATTAATTAAACATAGGTATTTAACTTTGATCAGTCTGTATAATAAGAAATAAAAATGAGAATTAAACGTTCGGCAAATAATTATTTCTTTATTAAATGCAAATAAAACTAAGTTCAACATTTTAAAACTCGCTCCCAAAGTAGTCGATACCTATAAGCAAACAAGTATCGATACTTTGTACTGCAATATTTCGATTAGTATAAAGTCGGTCAAAGTAATACTTGTAATCGCTATCGAATTAATTTATTAAAATTTTACATTGGGAGAAAAAATGTGGTCGGACACTTTTTTAATTGTATTTATATCAATATGTACGGCATTTTTGGGCGAAGGTATGTAATAAAAAAAATTACAGCGGTACGTGCATGTAGTTTTAATAATAAAGCATCATACACGTATTCATTTATAGGACTTACATGGGTGCTGGTCTACCGCACCGAGAAGTACCAGCGGCTAAAGACAGAAGTGGACAAACAGAGCAAGAAGTGTGAGTAGACTAGTGCAGTTTGCTGTAAAGGTTGTAGGCTAATTACATGTCACGTGATTTACATTTAGTGGAACGGCGTAAGGAGACACACGGCGATTCTTTGGATAAATCGGTAAAAAAGAAACTTGAACGTTACGAAGAGAAGTTGAAGAATAACAATCGCGACTTGTCGTTGGTGAAAATGAAGTCCATGTTTGCAACTGGATTTGCATTCACCGCCTTGTTGAGCATGTTCAATAGCATATTCGATGGTCGGGTTGTGGCCCAATTGCCGTTTACACCCATCTCCTGGATTCAGGGCCTGAGCCATCGTAATCTGTCGGGTGATGACTACACCGACTGTTCGTTCATCTTCCTCTATATACTCTGCACCATGTCCATTCGTCAAAATATTCAAAAACTGTTGGGCTTTGCTCCGTCGCGAGCTGCTAGCAAGCAAGGCGGTGGCCTCTTTGGCCCGGCGCCAGGTCAATTTAAATAGTTCTATTCTTTTATTATTGATTTCTTCCTAGCTAAATTTTGGATTGGATTTCTGTTTAAAAAACCACATACAATAAATTAAATTTTAATTTAAAGCATGAAACTCGTACATGGGTTTGTCAACAATAAGTCGATCAAATCCCAAACGTGACAAGTCCAATGTACGGAACTGGCCGTCCATAATGAGCTCAGAGATGGCTCGACCCAGTGCTGGTGTCTGCTGTATGCCCTGCCCACTGAAGCCGCTGGCAATGTATAGATTATGATAGTAGGGATGCGGTCCCAAGATGCCATTATCATCGTACACGTTATAATCGTAAAGGCCGGCCATGCTATTGACTACCTTGGCGTTAGCAAAGGCGGGTACACGCTCGATCAGCGCGGGGAGAATCCTCTCATTGAAGTACGTCGGATCCACATCTAAATTATCGGCACTCACTTTTTCGCCAGGTAACGCATTGTGCCCGCACACGTAGTCGCCGCCTAAGCCCACTCGACGGATATAGGTGCCTGCCGTTGCGTCCACAACCATGGGCATGGCCATGCCGGGAGCACTCTGGTCTTGGGTCTTTATCTTGTACATATAACGCTTGCGCGCATCTATGGGCAAGGGCAGATGCAGCACTCCCTCGCCAAGGCCAATTCGTGCTAGACGTGCCACATCCCCACTGTTTATGCCCGCGGCGATGACACACAGAGCGAACTTAATGGCGCGCTTCGCCCCACCTGGTTGCTGGATGATCACCTTGTCCAGGCTCTGATAGCCACTCTTCTCGGCGTTAGATACTATAATATCGGCTTGGCTTACAAACTCGAAGGCGACAGCTTCGCCATGGACGAAATGCGCGCCATAGCCGTGGGCAGCCCGTTTGTAATTGGCTAGGAGCGCCCAGGGATCAAACCAACCTTCACGTTCCTGCCCGTAGCAGCCTAGCGCGATGCCCTTGGTGTTTAGCCAAGGAAACTTGGATGCCAAGCGATCTGCTGTAAGCAACTCATTGCGCGCGCCGAGATCGTTTTGCAGTTGTGATGTCTGCTTCAGCATCTCCGCATCCGCCTCACCGGCAAGCACCAGATGTCCATATGGCATATATTTAATGGGTATATCGGTGCCAAAGTGTTCCGGCGCTTCGCGTAGAAAATCGGCAGCAAACAAAGACATTTGTATTGTTTCTGGCAATGCGAAATGGTGGGACAGGCCATTGATGGACACACGAGTTGCGGATCTCTCGTGCTGAAATTAGAGCGAAGCTGAAATGCTCTCTGAATGCATTTTTATCACCAGTCGACACATACCTTGATATCCTTTTCTACTACAACTACATTGAGACCGTCGCGCGCCTTCTGCTTGAGCCAATAGGCAATAGAGCTGCCCATTCCTCCACCTCCAATGATGAGGACGTCGCAATGTGTTGGGAATTCATCGATGCTGCCCTTCTCACCGCTAAAGTTGAATTTACTGCTTGTAGCTATAGGCTGGGGTTTGTTCTCACTATCAAATTGATCTTCTTTGGGCACAAAGAACTCTTTAATCTTTCGCATATCCTTGCCTAGAAGGCGAAATGTGCGACGTATGGGGTGCAGGTCGTTTGGGTCATCACTGCCGGGCGGATTCGAGCCAGTGGAGTGCGCACGTAATAGTGGAACCTGAATCTGACGTATAACATGTCTGCAACGTAACATCTTTCTGACCACTAGGTATTAATTAAGACTATGGTTTATTTTAAGTCATTAAATGTTGATTGTTATGCTATCTCATAACGTGTGATATAGAACAGCTGATGAAAGTGGTTCTGATTAGACTTACTCGTTGTGCTGTTAACTTAACATTATGCTAAAATGTTAATAACAGTGTAAACAGCTACTTGTGCAACTGTAATTTAAAAAATGTATACAACAAAAATTACTTCCGATATTATATGCATTGATAGAAATGCATATTAACCTTACGTTTTTTAAAGCAATTTTTTATGAAAATCGAAAAAAAAATAATATTAACTAAAAAATTTTGAGGCAGCCACATCACAATCAGTATCGATAATTGTAGCGTCAGAGTAACATGTAAAGTGCTTGTCAAAACTATCGCCCACCACTAGAGTCTGGCATTACTTGGCAATTTTGTATGCCGAGTTCAGGAAAAATATTAATATTAAAACAAACAGTAATTATACGTAAATTGCAAGTGCTTTAAAAATGGCAACAGTCGCTGTTGATACTGTCTCTCAAGACATCGAGATGGAGGTGGATGCTACGGCTGAAACATTGGCAGACGAGAAGAAAAATCAAGATCTCGCTGCCGTACAAGAACTTCGGGAACAAATACGCCAAATTGAAAAGTCCGTGGCCTCCAAGGAAGCACGGTAAGTGAAAAGTCAAAGTAGCTAAATTTGCCTGCATAAATCAAATATGATATATAAAAATCCTCCCAATTTAGTTTCATTCTTCGCGTGCTACGCAATTTGCCCATTACTCGGCGCAAATTAAACGGCGTCGTATTCCGGAACCTGGCTCAGAGCATTTATCCCGTTGGTGCTGACCGCGAGGCTGCCTTGGCACTCACGCCTGCACTCGAAAAAGATGCCACAGAATTGCCTGATGTGCCCAAAAAGCAGGTGGCAACAAAGGCTCCCATTGCTGAGGTAGATGCGTACTATTATCTACTGTTGCTGGTGAAATTGATAGATGCTGGAGATTTGAAGCGAGCTGGCGTTTGTGCTGATGCGTTAATGTCTAAAATCTCGATACAAAATCGTCGCACATTGGATCTTATTGGTGCCAAGTCATATTTCTACTACTCACGCGTGGCGGAGCTGAACAATGGATTGGAGGGGATTCGTTCCTTTTTGCATGCCCGCCTGCGCACTGCGACGCTGCGCAATGATTTCGAGGGACAGGCCGTACTGCTCAATTGCCTGCTGCGTAACTATTTACATTATGCACTGTACGATCAAGCCGACAAGCTCGTCAAGAAGTCGGTGTATCCCGAGTCGGCCAGCAACAATGAATGGGCACGCTTCCTCTATTATTTGGGTCGCATCAAGGCCGCAAAGCTTGAATACAGTGATGCTCACAAGCATTTGGTGCAGGCATTGCGCAAATCACCACAGCATGCCGCCATTGGATTCCGCCAGACAGTACAGAAGTTGATCATTGTTGTGGAACTGTTGCTGGGCAACATACCAGAACGCGTGGTGTTTCGCCAGGCTGGATTGCGCCAATCTCTTGGACCATATTTCTCGCTCACACAGGCTGTGCGGCTGGGTAATCTGAAGCGCTTTGGGGATGTGGTCTCACAGTTTGGGCCCAAATTCCAAATGGATCATACATTTACGTTAATCATTCGTCTGCGCCACAACGTAATCAAGACGGCCATTCGCTCCATTGGACTCTCCTACTCGCGCATTTCGCCGAAAGATATAGCCAAGCGTTTGATGCTTGACTCGGCAGAGGATGCCGAATTTATCGTGTCCAAGGCTATACGTGATGGTGTTATTGAAGCTACCTTGGATCCCGAACAAAATTATATGCGCAGCAAGGAGAGCACCGACATATATAGCACACGCGAGCCCCAGTTGGCCTTCCATGAACGCATTTCGTTCTGCTTGAATCTGCACAATCAGAGCGTTAAGGCAATGCGTTATCCCCCCAAATCTTATGGCAAGGATTTGGAGAGTGCCGAGGAGCGACGTGAGCGGGAACAACAGGACCTGGAGCTGGCCAAAGAGATGGCCGAAGATGATGAAGACGGTTTCTAAGCTCTTACTTTCATAAAGATATACATTAATTTTTCATAAATGTGTGAACGATTATCATAATAAAATTAATTTCCGAAATTTGTAAACCCAGCGTCTGTATTAGTTTCCATATATCATTTAAATATTTTTCCGGTTTGTCCCTTAAATATCGTAATATCAAATTTAAACCGTCGTTAAGTAAGCGATGAAAGAGTTGTAAAACTATCCTAGCGAAAAATATGTAGTATTTTATTTTATACTTAAAATAATTGAAATATTTATTCTTAGCAATCATTTATGACATTTATATTGTATTATCATTATAATGATACTTTAATTATATTTAAATATATCAAAACTATTCACAATAATAGCTGGCGGTACTGCACTATCGATATAAAGGCAAGCTGCAAATGCGAAATATATCGAGCACTTTGAAGCATCGATACATCTTTGCAATATCAACAACCCTATCTAGTTGCATTATTCTTGGAGCAGAAAGCAGAAAATTTTTGTGAAAACACCACGCAGCGAAAAATGTAAAGTTCGCAAATGTAAAAAGTAACAAAAAACGTAGAAGCAAACTATGAACTTGCAAATTGTGTTCAGATTGATATTGAAAAGTGCATGTGCGCGTTTATTGTAGAAATACTACATGCAAGTAATCAGCAGCCACAGCATTCTGTGGCAGCGACTCGTCGTCCAGTAGCAGCGAGTAAATTGTGGAGTCTCTCTGGCCACATTGGTGGACTAGCGCCCGCAAATGTATGCGACAAACTAGTAGTGGGCAGCAGCAGCAGTCGTTGTCGTCTTTGTGAAGCATCAATCGCGAAAAAGCAAAGGAAACAAATAAACGCCAAAACAACAGAGTGAAAAAAAAAACGTGCGTAAAAGTTAATTAGCTGCCGCCAACCAACGAGCAAACGCAGAAGCGAGTGGAGGAGCAACAGCAGCAGCTGCTGCTCTATACAAATCGACAATCGACATTATTGTTGTTGTTATTATTATTGTTGTTGTTGTGGTTTTTGCACCCACCACACGTAACTAGAGCAGCAGCCACTATACACATACATACACACAGATACACTAAAACACACATACACATATACACAGACACAAGTTCACACACACACACACACACACACACCCCTACGTATAAACACTCCAGGCTAGACTTCGTAGTAGATGCGTGCGTGCCACAACAAAATTGGAAATGATTTGTCCAAAAGACGTCCTGCAGTGGTTTAAGACTCTGGAGAGCTATAATCGCATTGATACCATGTGTTCATTGTTCGAGGCCTGTTTGCCGTTCGAGTTGCGGTTTCTGGGCACATTTTTGGAGGAGCTGGGTCGCCGGGATTCACCGGAATTGCGTGGCATGGAGTTGCGCGCCAATAATCCACAGGATCTGGCCGCCGATATGCACAACTGCCAAAAGGGCGAGCCAACAGACAAAAAGATCCGCCGCAAGATGGCGCTATATTTAGCGCTAATACGTGCCTGTAATCGCAATTGTGTGACAGAAATATTTCGCACCCTCGAATGTTGGGGCGAACGCGATTTTGCCAGCATTAACGATCAGGATACGATCCTGGAGCTGTTGCTCGTCTACACAATGGCTGCCAAGCATCCTGTCTTCTCTTACCACCAGAACACCAAATGCGGCGAAATTCTGGCCAAGATTAAGGAAATCAGACGTATGGCGGATGAAACGTCACAAATTATGACCCAACAGCAGCAGCAGCAGTCGTCACAGCAGCAACAGCAACAGCCGTCACATACACAACACTTGCTGCATCAACAGCAACAGTCACAGCCACAGCCGCCACCGCCTTTCCATCATCCAGTGGTGCCAATGATGCAGCCACAGCAACCAACGCCTCTGCTGTATCCACAGCCTTGGACCAAGGTAACAAATCAATTGTCCATAAGGTTATGCCAGACCGAAAGAGATTCCATGGTAGTCTGTTATATTATCTATATGAATTGCCTTCTACTCCATTTAAAATGCCTTTTCCTTGATCCTTTGCAGATGATACCCGGCACAGAAGTGGACAGCATACAACATTTGATGCAATCCAACATCACCATTCCAACGGACTCGAATGCCATTGCTGCGGCAGCGGCGGCGGCGGCGGCGGCTGGCGGCTGGTCCATGCGCAACTCAGTGCCATGTACAGTGTACGCCGTGCCGCCTCCACAGCCACAGAGCCTGGATCATCAGGTGCCGCCGCAAGCCAGCTCGCCCATGCTAAGCAGCCAGCAGTCATCGCCGTCGACCAGTCGCACCACCAGCCCACAGCGCGAGCGTGGCAGCAGTGCCCCACTGCTGCAGCAGCAGCAGCAACAGCCACAACAACAAATGCGCAGCTTGCCGCTGCGCTTGCCGAACAGCGTCAAACATTCGCGTCGACCCTCTGTGGAGACAACGCCACCGCCAACGTCCACGTCCGTTGGCAGCGGCGACGCTAAGCATTTTGATGAGGTGGGTACTATGAATCATGCAATCAATAACAGCGAATCAATGGAGAAATATGTATTCCTGATCAGCGCTGGCTGAGTATCAAATGTATTGTCGTTGCTATGTTTGTGTGTAGATGATTGTTGCCCAGAATGGATCTTGGCTTAAGGTAGAATAATAGGAATTCGAACGGCAATTTAGCGATGCCCAATGATTATTCCATGAATAGGTTAATGCTTAGGTCAACAATTTAATTTTAGCCTGTTCAGTGCTGACCTAGTTGTAGATGTTTCTTTTCGCCCAGAATACATCTTGGTGTAAGGTAGTATATCTAGAGATGATGAGTGAGATTTAATGGCTGTTCCTGTTCCTGTTCAGATGAAAAGATATTTTATCACAATATTTGTATTTAATGTTTAGCTTGCCCAAAAATGAAATTGGTAGGATAGCTAAAAATTGTTGATCAAGTTACTAATTCTTGAATATTATTCTTTCAATTCTATATGGGTATCTAGGCACAGATATATAGATATTTGATATAATAATTTTCATTCATTATTTTATCAGCCCAGAATTGAGCTTGGTCTAAGGTAGTAGAATAGCTAAAAGATTTGAATAGATATTTACTAATTCTCTAAGATTTTTCCTTTAACTTTATTTGTTTATATACGATTACTTGATTTCAATACAACTATTCGCATGTTAGTTTTATTATTTTTTAATCAATTGAAGAACTATGTGTGCTAATTGTTATTAACAAATAATCAAAGAATACTTAATAATATAATATTTTTGTGCCTATATGATTCCAGGGTATCAGCGAAGGCGGCGGCAACTTGTCTAGTATTATACGCAACGCAAGCTATCCGCGTGTCTCGCATCAGCGTATGAATGCGAATACATATATACCACCTCACCAGCAGCAGCAGCAACAGCAACAACAACAGCAGCAGCAGCAACAGTCGCCGGTAAGTCAAGATTCACAGCAGCAGCAGGCGCAGCAGCACTATCAGATGAACAGCTTCATCAAGGCGAACACACTGGTCCACACGATGCATAATATGCATATAAACGAAGATGGCAGCGGCTCGACGAGAATGAGTTCGAGTAAAAGTGCGGCAACTACGAGCAGCGAATCGGGTTGCTCGAATGGTTCTTGCGGCGAGACAACGCCACCGGAAACGCCCACGCCCACGCTGCCCAACCATTCAGTGGGCATTGGTTATCAGCAGCAGCAGCAGCAAAAGCCGCATCATATTAGCAATAAGCAGTCTAGCCTACAGCATCGCCTCAACGGGCGCAATGGTGTGGAGAAGAGCTATCAGCAAATCTATACGCCGAGCAATCCCAGCGAGCAACAGCAGCAGCAGCCGCTGCTCATGAGTCCCTCTGCTGTTAGTTCGCCACCAACACCTGTGCTGTTGCAGACGCAGCAACAGTCACAACAGCAGCAGCAGCAGCAGCAACAACAGCAGCCGCAGCAACAACAACAGCAACCACAACCACCGCCAACAGCGACAGCGTATAATGCACCAACATATCCATATCATGCGGCAAGCGGACGTGGACCGCAGCCGGCTTTGATAAAACCGCATCATCCGCAGCCGCCGCCACTTGCGCTGCACAATTCCATACGCCTTCATTACCAGCCTAACGGGGACATCATCTTTCCGGGCTATCATCCCGGCTTGACGTATCCAGTGCCCGTTACAGCACCGCCAGCTGGTGCGCCCACAGCTGTGACGGCGGCCCAATTGGTCCGCAATACGGCGCCCGTTGCCAGCACCAATGTAGTCACAGTGCAAACGCAAACGCCCGCCACACAGCCGCAGCCGCAGCAATTGCTAGCGACGCCAGTTGCGCCCACGCCGTATACGACGTTAGGCGTTTGCCCCATAACTGGAGCGAGCAGCGCGGTGACACCGAAGATCATCTCCTGCTACAACTGTGGCTCCCAGACGCACATCGGGCGTGACTGCCAGGAGGCGTCCATGGAGGATGTGACGCGCAGTGCCACCTACAAGCTGGACTTCAGTACGACAAATAACTCGAGCAGCAGCATCGATGGCGGCAACCTCAGCGATCACAAGGATGTCGGCAGCATGCTGAAGAATGTGCCAGCGACGACGCCAACGGCGACAGCGGGAGCAGCATTGACCAGCATGGGCAAATAAGCCATGTATAATACACACACACACACACACAGATAAATTATACATATATATTTATATATATATGTATAAATAATTAAAACATCTAATTAATTAATATACTTATAGTAATTCTTAACTACTTACACAATTGAACATTTATAACGTTTGTAAAAGTGCGGAAATCAAATTTCATGCCTTTAGCCACGTCTCTTAGTTGTTTAAGTCATTTTTGCAAATTTCGTTAGCCAGAACAAGTCGCCTAAAATTAAACAACAACAACAAAAAAAAAAAAAACATAAAACAAAAACGAAAAGCAAAAAAAAAAAAAAAAAGAAAAATAATATAAACAATTAACAACCTTGCACACCACAGGGAAATTATGCAGATAGTAATTGTAGTTATATATACATACATATATATTCTATATATATAAATATAAATGATACTATATCTATTGTATAATTGCGCGTACTATACGAATATTTCTACCAAT